ATGTCCTATCCAGGGGATCTTTCTGACCCAGGGATCGAACCTGGGTCTCCTGCATTGCAGGCAGACTCTTTACCGTCTGAGCCACCAGGAAGCCCATCACCCCCCCAGAAGGGGCACGTTTTTCTCGCTTGGACAAAGACTCCCTGTTAGTGGCGGCTCTGAGTATCATTCCCCACATCTTTCCCTCCCTCCCTCCCATGTAAGACAGAGCTCAAGCTTTGACCTCCACTGGGAAGTCTTTCTTGCCCTCCGTCTCTGAGACAGAGTGACTGTAAGTTACCACCTCATCCTCTGCATGTTTTAATGATGGCAGCTGTCCCAGTGAAGTGTAATTATGTGGACAGCTGTAAAACCACACGCCTGCCACAGAAGTCTGGCCTGTATCGGTCAAGTTCAGGGTGGTTCTTCTTTAATCTAAGGATGCCTTTGAAGAATACTGGAATAACAAGTATTAAAGTCAGGTGAGTACCTCCTTTGTTTTACTTCAAAGTACCAAACAATTGGCTGCGTCAATCAGACTGGGCATGGCTAGCTGAGATAACAAATTGGGGGCTTACAATAAGAAAGTTCCTTTTCTCATTCACACTGCATGTTCCTCATGGAACCCAGATGGATGGAGCAGTCACTGTTTGCAGCTCTGCAAAAAAACTCTTGACAGTCTGGTACCAATAATGAATTGCTTCTTCCTGGAATCAGCTTTGGAAGTGACATAATTTCTACTCCAACTTACTGGCCAGAATTAGTGTCATGGTCCCACCCAAGCTCTAAAGGGACAAAAAGTGTAAGCCTATCATATTCCTGGAGGGCAGGAGAGCATGGAAACATTTGGCTAATAGCACTGATGACTCCAAGAGTCGAAGGTTTCCATAAAATTGACTGACTTTCTTATTTCTTAAATAGCCTTTTCTACCAGTTGTTTTGGCATTCAGAAAAATGCATTATCAACAGCAGGACATTGCAATAACAGCTATAGCTAAAACCCAAAGCACAGGGTTTTTTTGGAAAATGTTCAGTGACATCTCTGCTCATAAATAAGGATTCTTTGGGGGTATGTGTCTATTTTATTTTATAGTTCAGATTATATTGTAAAAAAACAACAGAATGTAGTGGCCCAAGTTCAGTTTTAGATGAGATTCTTAGTGTCTTAGTCACACAAATAAATTGCCTAACCCATCCAATACAGCAAACGAGATAGGTAGTAGATGTGAAAACCTTCTGTAGATTGTAAAATGCTGAAATATAAATTCTATTTAAAAACATATTGTTGTTAGCTCAACGAACTAGCCATCCCAAAGACCTTTATGTTCTATTAATAAGATCTTCTCCTGCCACAGGTATTTTTTTTTCATTTATTTTCTGTTGATTTTCATGGGCTTTTAAAATAAACCCTTAATAAGAACAGAACCACAGAAAACATTCTTTCAGTATGAATCAGCTATATATTCACAACGAAACTTGAAAAACTCAGTTTTTCCAGGAACAAATTGCTCTGGGAATGACGCCACTGAATGAGATGTTAAGGAATTTAAAAATGAATTGCAGATGAAGTCTATACAAGTGTCTCCTAAATACATGTAAAGTCCACTTTCCCTCTTTAGCATGTATTTTAAAAAGCCAGCCCCTCTCTGTATACATTGGTAGAAGATATACACATCCTTAACATTTCCCCCCAAATCTTTAACTCTTAAAAACAATAATTAAGGGATGAATTTCACATTAAAAAGAAATTTTAATTTCTCCCTTTAATTATAGCAAGTGCTCCCTTCGTGCATTTATATCATAAAAAGAACATGTTAGAGTTCAGAAATGTCAGTTCTATACATTGAAATATATATGCAATGCCACCATCTGTCTCTTTTCCTTGTCTATATTTTACACATTTTTAAATGAATAGCTTTCTCTGTGTTTACAGCATGGACTCCTTTATCCTACAGTTTGTGGACAATTATAGATCTGTCTACTGATAGATCCTATCAGTTTTCTTTGTCTTGAATTCTGTGATGACACAGAACTTGTGCCTCCAGAATTTGTGACTATAATCATGTGAAAATCCTGTTGAAATGAAAAATTGTGTCTAATCTCCAATGAAAGAACTTAAGTGTGAAAGTGTGAATAAATCTCAGATCAAATGTCAAACGTTTAGATGTGAAAGGGTTTCTCCAAGAGCATAGAAAAGTCAATATCCTACTCTTAATTTTTACATTAAAAAAAATCTGCCCAGAGGATTCTTTTCCAAACCAGACTTGATTTAACCACATCCTAAATGTGGTTCAAATTCTAATAGTTCCACTAGCTTTAGAAAAATCTGGAAAGATAGACAATAGTATTTCCAAAGTGTGCTTAGTAGTGCTTTGAGCGGTGGATGAGATCAGTGTTAGAAGTGTATCCTTTTCCTTGGCAAGATGGCAGGGATGACATGATTACTTGCATTATGCAGTTTTTGGATCAGCATCTAGTCTTTCCATTGCTTGGACTTTTCTCTGTAAAGGAGATTAAATAATGAAAAAGAATTGTCACAAGGTAAACAGGATCTTCTTAGTGATACCAACGTGGTAGACTTTGCTATGGAAGTATAAAAATACTTTATTCTGAGGGTATTCCTCATGCACTGGGAGAAAAAAAGAACCACTATTGTTGCACAACTGAAACAGCTTCAGGTAGGAACTGAACCAACTGTGAAAATGTTAGAAGATCTAGAATCTACAGGGCAAATGCAGTCAGCCAGGGATGGTCAGATGTTGTTTGACTACTTGGCAGACAAGCCTGGTTTTAGGCAAGAATATTTAGATACACTTTGTGTGCTAAGTCACTTCAATTGTGTCTGACTCTTTGTGACCCTATGGACAATAGCCCACCAGGCTCCTCTGTCCAAGGGATTCTCCAGGCAAGAAAACTAGAGGGGGTTGCCATGCGCTTCTCCAGGGGATCTTCTTGATCCAGGGATTGAACCCGGGCCTCCTGCAGTGCAGACAGATTCTTTACCATCAGAGCCACTTGGGAAGGTTTACAGGCACGCAAAATGCCAATATGAATGCAGAAATTACTCTGGAGCAGCAGAATATCTTTCCTTCTTTAGAGTGTTGTTTCCAGCAGTGGATAGAAATGCTTTGAGTTTAGAAGTTATGGTTGCAGGAGGAAGGGAGGAAGGATGTGGGGAAGGGATAGTCAGGAGTTTGGAATGGACGTGTACACTTTGCTATATTTAACATGGATAACAAAAAAGGACTGACTGTATAGCAAGGGAATTCTGCTCAATGCTATGTGGCAGCCTGGACGGGAGGGAGTTTGGGAGAGAATGGATACATATATATGTATGGCTGAGTGCCCTTCCTATTCATCTGAAACAATCACAACATTGCCTATTAATCTGCTATACTCCAATAGAAAATAAAAAGTTTTAAAAAAAGAAATGCTTTGAGTTCATGCTAGGAAACACTGACTTCTGAAATCTTAACGCAGAATTGGGATGCATCCATGGAAGACCTTACATGGGTCAAAGGGGCCATAGATAATAATTCCGCGAGTCCCCCACTCCAGTCTTTCCAGCCATGAACATGGCTTATTCTTTGGTCTTTGTTTTCTTCCATCACCCCAAAGGGTGTCATGACATTATTGATCTCCTTCTTTACCAGCCACAGTTGTTGTTCAGTCGCTCAGTTGTGTCCAACTCTTTTTGACCCCAGGGACTGCAAAATGCCAGGTTTCCCTGTCCTTCACTGTCTCCTGGAGTTTGTTCAGATTCATGTCCATTAAGTTGATGATGCCATCCAACCATCTCATCCTCTGTCATCCCCTTCTCCTCCTCCCTTCAATCTTTCCCAGCATCAAGGTCTTTTCTAATGAGTTGGCTCTTCCTATCAGGTGGTCAAAGTATTGGAGCTTCAAATTATGGAGAATTTGAATAAAATTGGCTGGGTTTCATTAAAAAAAAATTCACCCCTGGAACTCACCACTCTGATTGGACAGTTTGACCATCCTAGCAACCCAATCCTTCTGGTTTTCTTGAGACATTCTTTTTTTTAATAGGTTCAGTTCCTTTCAGTCTCTCAGTCGTGTCCGACTCTTTGCGACCCCATGAGTCGCAGCATGCCAGGCCTCCCTGTCCATCACCAACTTCCGGAGTTTACCCAAACTCATGTCCATTGAGTCGGTGATGCCATCCAACCATCTCATCCTCTGTCATTTTTATAGGTTACTTTAAAAAATTTTATTTTTATTTATTTATTTTTGACTGTGCTGAGTCTTTGTTGCTGGGAGGGCTTTCCCTAGTTGTGGTGAGCAGGGGCTACTCTCTAGTTGTGGTGCATGTGTTTATCATTGCAATCGCTTCTCTTGTTGCGGAGCACAGGATCCAGGGTGCGAGGGCTTCAGTAGTTGTGTGAACTTAGTAGCTGCAGCTCCTGGGCTCCAGAGCACAGACTGAATAGTTGTGTCGTATGAGCTTATTTGCTCCGAGGCATGTGGGATCTTCCAGGATCAGGGATCAAACCTGTATCTCCTGCACTGGCAGATGGATTCTTTACCTCTGAGCCACAGGGAAGCCTCCAGAGATATTCTTGAAGACTGTCCATGAAAGGCATCCTAGTAATGTTTTAAGTAAAGGTGCATGTTTATGCCTTAGAAGTTCTTTGAATAAGTAAGTTCTGATATATGTTAAAATGCAAATTTAATTATAACTAATCTATCTTTGAAGATAGATAGGCAAAGAAGATCTCCCACTGGAGACCAGTAGTTTGAAATTAGTCTGAGCCATTTTGTTGGTGTTTAGTCACTAAGTCATGTCTGACTAGGACATTTTAAACAACTCCAAGAGAAAGTTTTTCTTTATTCAGATGTCAAGCATGACTTCTTAGAAGTTAATGATGTTCACTCCCATTCAATGTTAATTGAGAAGCCTTCCTTCATATGCATAAGACAGAGGCTTCTGTATCAAGGAAGCAGAAAAAGATTTTCTAGTTTATTTCTCATGAATTATGCGCTTTTGAAATAGATGATTAGGCTTATTCTGAGGAAGAGGCTACAGAAGTATCTTGTTTACCATCTGAGTTTGAAGGGAAAAAGGGACTTTCATTCTGCCACAAGTTAAGTTAGGTTTCATGTGGGACAGCCCTGTTGTCCCCATGTCTTCAGAGAGTTTCTGGGAAAAAGTAGATTTGGAACTGATTGTGGAAGGAGGAAAAGAAGGCTAGGAAGGCATGAATCTGGCCAATATGAAGTAGATATAACCGTAAGAAAAGGGAGCACTTGTTTAAAAGGAGAAAGAATAATGGGTATAGTGAATGAGGAAACTTCATCAGTGTTGTGGTGCTTGGGCTCCAGAGTACGTGTTCTCAGTAGTTGCAGCTCGCAGGCTTAGTTGCTCCACAGCATGTGGGATCTTGTTCCAAACCTGACCACAGGCTAAAATAAGGCATAAGACCTTTTTAAAGAGCCGGCTTAAGACTAAATACTAAAAAAAAACTAAGATCATAGCATCCAGCATGGCATGGCAAATGGAAGGGGAAAAGGTGGAAATAGTGACAAATTTTTTCTTCTTGGGCTCCAAAATCATTGCAGATGGTGACTGCAGCCATGAAATCAGAAGATGATTATTTCTTGGCAGGAAAGCAATGACAAAACCAGACAGTGTATTGAATGCAGAGGTATTACTCTGCCAGCAAAGGTCCATATAGTCAGGGCTATGGTCTTCCCAGTGGTCACGTACAGTTGTGAGAGCTGGACCATAAAGAAGGCAGAATGCCAAAGAATTGATGCCTTCGAACTGTGGTGCTGGAGAAGACTCCTGAAAGTCCATTGGAGAGCAAGGAGATCAAGCAAGTCAATCTTAAGGGAAATCAACCCTGGACATTCACTTGGAGGACTGATGTTGAAGCTGAAGCGCTAGGATTCTGGTCATCTGATGTGAACAGACAACTCATGGAAAAGTCCCTGATGCTGGGAAAAGTTCGAGGGCAGAAAGAGAAGAGGGCATCAGAGGATGAGACGGCTGAACGACATCACCAGTGCAATGAAGATGAACTTGGGCAAACTCTGGGAGATGGTGAGGGACAGGGAGGCCTGTCGTGATGCAGTCCATGGGGTTGCAGAGTTGGACATGACTGGGCGACTGAACAACAACAAGAAGAATTTTTAAGCTGATCAGGAGATCATGAAATTTAATGTGGAGGGAAACAAATCTCTGATGCTCTGGATCAGGAAAAAAAATCATCAAGATGAAAGATATCAATTTTACCTGGCAAGGTATTTCATTAGCATCATGCTCTACTGAGCACATCAGTCATGCTCCACCAGGAAGGTGTTTTATAATGAATTCTTTCATTGATTCACTTTCTTTTGGTAAATAAATAAAATCAGAAGATGATCTAAAATATTTAAGAGAATAGACAGCTTTCACATTCAGTAAGTGAGTTTATTTATTTTGTTTATGAGCTTCCTCGATGGCTCAGCAGATAAAGAATCCCCATGTAATGCAGGAGACACAGGAGATGTGGGTTTGGTCTCTGGGTCAGGAATATCCTCTGGAGGAAGAAATGAAAACCCATTCTAGTATTCTTGCATGGGAAATCCCTTGGACAGAGAAGCCTGGTGGACCATAGTCCATGGAGTCGAAAAGAGTCGGACATGACTTAGCACACACACACACACATATTTTATTTATTTGGCTGTGACAGGTCTTAGTTGCGGCACACAGGACATTTGTTGTGTCATGCAGGACCTTTCACTGTGGCTCACGGACTCTCTAGTTGTGGTGCCTGAGCTCTGGAGTGCACAGGCTGTCGCTGCAGCTCTCTGGCTTAGTTGCTTCTTGGCATGTGGGGATCTTAATTCCCCCACCAAGGATGGAAACTTTCTCCCATCCCCTGCATTGCAAGGTGGATTCCTAACCACTGGACCACCAGGGAAGTCTCAGTAAGTGTGTTTAGATCTTCAAATACTACTTATTGAATTGATTAATTGACTGCAACATGGTAATCATGGGCTTCCCAGGTGGTGCTAGTGGTAAAGAATCCACCTGCCAATGCAGGAGACACAAGAGATGTGGGTTCAATCCCCAATCCAGGAAGATCCCCTGGAGGAGGAAATGGCAACCCACTCCAGGATGCTTGCCTGGGAAATACCATGGACAGAGGAGGCTGGCAGGCTACAGTCCATGGGGCCGCAAAGAATTTGACATGACTGAGCAACTAAGAACACAAGCTAATCATAAATAGTTTTATCTGTTCTTTTAAGTGGTTCCTCATGGATCCCAACTCAGAAGATGATTGGGGTGTTTAGTGTTATGTGAATTGCTGCATAAACTCAAAAGAATTGATGTTTTCATAAAGATATTCTATAGTTTTCATAAAATTATATTTTCCTGGATTCATCTTTCTGGAGTTGGTCACTCATGGTGCATGCTATTGTTCCCTAGCTGCCCGGAGCATAATTCCCTGCCCACAGTGTCTCACTGAGGGAGCAGACATATGCAGTCAAGTCTGTACCACATGACCACTGCCAAACACAGCCGAACAGACCAGTGGTGAGTACCGGGCCCAAGGGCAGCCAGTCCACAGGGTGATTACAAGTTAACAGGTGGACCACTGCAAAAGAGCACCCAATCAGAGACACTGGCGATCAGCTGGACCAATCAGAGTCTCTCTCAGGAATCCGAATGAGGTTATACAGGGAGAAAATGAGTCAGCTGGTAGTAGGTGGATGGATAAGTAAAAATGCCACAAAAGGAAATAGTGAGGGAAGTGTCAAAGGGTTAGGAGAGGAGTGGTTGTGGGACTGGGACAGGAGGAAACAGGGTCCCCTCAGCACCTGCCAGTATTCCGTCTCTATGAAGCTGGATGAGTGACTGTAGCGGGTTCCCAGCGAGGCTTTTCTCTCTTTCCTGAAACGTGTAAGCCTACAATTCCATTCCTCAGACAGCCTGAAGAAGACACTTTGCAGCCTTAGAACCCCCCAAATCTAACTACCACATGGTCCAAAGTTTGATCAAATAAAATGAGGATAAGCCTCAGAGGCAATCTGGTACGAAGAGGTTCAATTTTACCCTTACTAATTTTAGGGAAAACATCTTGGGAAACAGCATTAGCCATCCTATATGTCTTTAATGGGTTTACTGAAATTTGTCAGCTGACTCAAACACCTGTTACCTTTGAAACTAAACGAAACAAAATTGTGTTGAAGGTGTTGTTGTCATCACTTTTGGGATAAAAACTAGGAGGATGGGTGACAATGCTGCAATCCTTTATGAGCATCAACTCAGTGGCTCTTATCTGGCTGTTACTGGTTCATCAAAGCAGGTCGCTGACCTCAGTCACGTCTACGCCGTACTTGCTGTCGTAGGAGTTCTTATGCTGTGGGAGAAACCTGCTGGGTTGCAAGCCCATGAAATGCACAACTGTGGAGATCCTGAGGGTTCTGCTATGACATTTATTGCAAATTCTGGGTCAATCATATTTAGGGCCCCCTTTTAAAAAAATGGCTAGAGGAGTAATCCAATAGTAAGTTGCTACTGCCATCTGTACTTTGTTACATTAGCATGACCCTAAGTTCATCAAACTGAGGTCTTTTGGTCTCATTAGTAAGAGGCGCCAACTTGTCCTAGCATTGCTGGGGAAGAGAATCTTTCAGTTACATGAATGAAGAAAGAGACACATAGTCATGGTAGGGTGGCCAGAAAGATTGTAATTATGATTGAAGGGCAGTGTCCTGATGAAGGGCCCCAGATGGATGGAGAGGAGCAGGAGGCAGGGAAGGAAGGATGCTTTGTTAGCAGATAGGCTTCCCACTTGCCCAGCGGGGTGACAGGATGATCTTCTGGGTTTTCACAACTCATGTTTTCTGTGGACTTTATAATTCTGCATCTTGCTGGGGGCTTCCTTTAGCCCGTGGAATGAGATATTTCTATGTGGCATCAACAATCTGCAACAGAAGAAATGCCATCAATAGCTTTCTCAGCCAACATGGGGGATGGTACTCTGCAAAACTATGCCCGAAATATTATCATTTCACCATTATTTAATCCTTTGTTAATGAAACAAAAAAGAAAAAAAAATGTTGAGTCTACCCACATCATTTTTGCTCTTAGCCATTAATAAGAATCTGTTTGCAAAATTACTGGAAGTTGAAAGTAACCCAAGAAGTTCTTGGTGGGGATAGTGAAGATTTTCTCATCGTGTAAATATCCTCTGGAGGCTTAATTACAGCAAATGATATAGCTATGTCCTGGCCTGTGTGTCATTCCAGAGAAAGGCAACGTCAGATAACAGACCAAAGGGATTAACCTAGTTACAGTTGCCTAGTGCAGTTCATTGAACGAGCAGTCTGGGCATGGCTTTCTCTCTTGGATCTTAGTGACTTCTGACCCCATAATACAAGTGTGTCCCGAAGTGGTATTTTTGGCTGTTTGGCTTTGTTTGTCTTCAAGCCATCATGGCACAAATGTAAATTAACTCTGGTTCTACTCAGCAGTGTCCCTGTTTTTGCAGGCATAAAATGGGTGCACCCATCTGGGCGCCCAGATGATGCTGACAGACCCAGCCCAGTTCTCGGGGCGGCCCAGACAGTGACTCAGAGAGGCAGTCAGCATGGTCCAGGAGATGCATGTAGACAACTGATGCTAAAAACAGTTCCTACACTCATGCATATTTCTAATCTCCCTCCCCCTTGTCCCCAAGGCGAAAAGTGGTGAGCTTGCTCCTCTTCACTCTCACATGAACCCTTCAAGCTGCCATTTCTTTCAGGGACATTCACCTGGATCAGAATTTATTGCCGATGGCAGTGGCAGTGGGGGTTGGGAATGGTTTGGGAAGAAGCAAAAGGCAGGATTTAGCTTCATTGTGCTGCCTTGATGTGGATTCAGTCTGGATGGCTCAGGCTCCGCAGGTCTGGAGGAATGACCCTGCCCTGTCTATCTTCTATTGGGTCAGGAAAGCCATTGGAGAGGAAGCCTGATAGCTCGCCTGAGGAAGTGGGCTTCCTCCGTCCCTCCCTGGAGAATGCAGATGAGCACATTTACCTGCAGCTGAGTGGGGGCTACCATACGCAGTTAATGCTACATCCTCCTCAGCGCCATCACTGTCTCGGGCTGAAAGCCAAAGGGGGGAAGGTCTGGGTTAGTGTCAGAGGTTCACCTGGAAACAGCACCTTAGGAGGGTGGGGCTCAGTGGCTTGCAAGAGGCTCCTTCCTTTAAAAATAAATTCTCCACTGAGGCTACTTTTTTTGTGTGTGTGATTTATAAAAGAGCATTGTTAAAGCTTTGGAGGAAGGTTGCATACAGATCACAATTGTGTACGCAGAAGTACCTCTGTGCTTAGTTAACTGAAGGAGCTGAAGCCTCATCGTCATTTTCTATGGTGAGCAAAAGTTGGTATTTGCAGGAAGGAAAATAATCTGAAGGGCTTGTGTTGGCAAGAACGTTTTTCTCCTGTTTTCCATCATTTGCTATTCATTGACTCGTTCTTTACATTGCATAGCCTCATTGTTTCTGTCTTAATACCTTCCAAAAAAATCATACTAGATTTGTCTGTAGATATTTAAACAAGGGATAGAAAAAAATACCCACAATAATGTGATTCTTTAAAATGCACATGGGTCTTGGTTTTAGTGAACTTGATAAAACAATTTTCTAAGTAATCTAAAACAGATGAAGTAGGCACTACTAGAATAGGAGCTTTCCTTTCATAAAAAAAGGTTCATGTCTGATATTCTAGATTTTTATTGCTTTTATTTATTTATTTATTGCCACATCCCAAGGCATGTGGGATCTTAGTTCCCTGACCAGGGATTGAACCCCCACTAACTGCAATGGAAGCGTGGAGTCTTAACCACTGGACCACCAGGGAAGTCCCCCTGATAGTCTAGGTTTAGGATCTTTGCAAAAGATATCACACTAAAAAAAAAAAAAAGATATCACACTAAAAATTCTCAGTTAAAAGAGCAATTGATTTTAAAAATTCAGTCGATATGCAGTTTTCCAGGAACATGTTTATATCACAGGGCACAGACTATTTATACCCATTTGCTTGGTGTTTTGTAGTAATATGCCTGATTGGATTTTTATTCTTCATCTAGATGTTTTTATATCTTTGAGCTAAGTCCATATATCACTTTAGAGAGAATCTTTAAAGACTAATCTTTTGAAAGACTTCCAGGGAAATGAAATCCTTAATTCCCTTTGCTGATTTATTTCAGTGTACCAACTCTTTGCATTTAATCTGAATGCTTTGCGCTTCCATTTGAGTCTATTTCTACCATTCATCTTTAGCTGGAGACAGGAAACAGGACAGCAGCCTCTTGGGGAGAAGTCATCATGTGTGTGAAATTCCCTGCTAATCCCCTCTTGTTTTACTCTTCTCTTAACTGATTAATTCTGGCCTCAGATCCCAGTGGTAAATCAAATAATTATGTGACTGCAATCACAGCTATAAATCAGAAGACACACATGACAAATGCATGCCTCACAGACTGGAACAAAATGTGTTTTGGTACAGAATTTAGAGAGAACCTGAATGTTGGTGAGAAAGGCACCTAAATAAGAACTACCATCTCCCTTTCATCTTCTTCACCTTCCCATGTAGGTCTATTGTTCTAACCCCTTCATCATCTTGGAGGTTTTCCACCAAGTCTCTCCAGATCCCCACACTTCTCCTCGTGGATCCCAGAGCTGGAATGGATATTCTTGTCAGGGACTGACCGACACTGAGAACAAAGGCCTGACTGTTCTTGCTGACCGCACATCTGTCTACACAGCACTGCGATTGTTTCCTGAGCAGACAAAACCAAACACAGCTGTGAGCTGCTCTCCCACTGCCAACTCTTGACCCACAGCAACACTTAGAATTTTTTACATTATTGTTATTACATTGTACTGCTCTGGGTCTTATCTATCTTGCATCTCTTTGTATGTTTTTTTCCGAGCTAGGTGTCATCTCATACATTTTCCTGAGTTTGAATCATTCTTCTAATTTTTGACATCTGTACTTTTTTCCAGGTGACCTACATCCTGATTCCCTTCTCTAAGCTTAAGTTTCTGGTTATTCCACCCAGTTTTGGGGAGCAATCTACATGTTCTTTTCTACACCATCGGTTTTTCTTCCCACAAAATATCAAATTATATTGACAGAGACTATCTCTGGCAGAAATGGATTTTCTACCAGTGCTCTAGTAATAAGGATAGTTATAAGGAAACACTGTGCTTTTGAAACCTCTTGTTTTTCCATAGGACATTTCTTAGAACACTAAATACCTGCCTAATCTTTGGGGGGTATGGAAAATTGATCACTACAGGTCCCAATGTGTTTTGGGTATTATGAAACACCAAGAACTCTCTTTCTTTCTGATTTTGTTTCCTAGAGACATATGACAGCAGACAAAGAAGACACAGAAGTTTTATCCTATTTTTTGGTGAGAACTATGGGAAGTCGTTTCAAGAAAGATTGACTCTGCAATTTTGCCACGAACCTCACATCATCAAAAGTAATGAGAAACTCATATAGGAAGGATGTATAGTCTCAATTTCCGATTCAAGGTCAACTGAACTGAACAGAATTAATGGATGCAGCTATCTGAACAGGAATTAATTTGAATGTGTAATTAGCCATAGATTACAGCTCAGAAAGTGTACGACTTAACAGGAAAGCTTCTATTAATTTTTTTGAGCCTGGTGAATATAATGTGTGCTATGCAATATGTAAAATAACATCATCTTTGCACATTAGAAATACATTGTGAGAAATCAGATGCCTATTAAGACACAGAAATGGATGTAAAACTGTGATATTGGGTTATGAATAATGGGCCAGATGTTTCAGAAAGGAATTAATGAGTTTTGATGTCTTTCCAGATCACTGATATTAGCCATTTATTCCCCCAGGTTATTGGAGTCCAAATCTCCTTGTTATCATGGATAATACATTTTATTCTTTAACAATGTATAGTCAGGTGACTTGGTCTTACATAAGGATTCAAATCTGACCCAGAAATTATTATGAAAATGTCACATAAGCAAGTTCTTGATTTCTATTAATGATTACACATCTGAGCTTCTGCTCAGAATTCTCACTTAATGGCGCTTCCTGTCACTTTTTGTAAACCTTGAAGGCTCTCAAGAAGTGAATGGTTTGCAAAGTAGACATCCAGAAGTTATTAGGCTTTGTGACTCTAATGAGATGATGAGTCGTACGAATCAGTCTACTATGATGTTTGGGGAAGTTAATTTTGAGATTTAAATTTTAAAAATGTCAGTCACTGCTGCCAGAGGTGACTTTTGCACCTGATGGCCAAAATATCTGGACTTAGCACGCTATGTCATGCAAGGGCACGACCAAAGCCTAATTTGGGGCTGGTAAACTCATTTTATAGTGGGTGCCTTTCTTTATCCAGTAAGAATACTCAGAGCCACACCCTCTTTATTTAGGACCTCTGAGTCATTTCTCTCTTGGCCTCTCCTCATGAATCTCTGTATTCTGGATTAACTGATTTTTCAGAAAAGTTTAACCCTGACTCTGTCTGCCTCTCTAGGCTTGAGCTATTTAGTTACCTCCCTAAGTCTTCCCTGGTGGTCCAGTCAGTAAAGAGTCTGCCTGCAATGCGGAAGACCTGGGTTCAATCCCTGGGTCTGGCAGATCCTGTGGAGGAGGAAATGGCAACCCACTCCAGTATTCTTGCCTGGAGAATCCCATCAACAGAGGAGCCTGGTGGGCTACAGTCCATGGGGTCGCAAAGAATCAGACACGACTGAGCGACTAACGCTAGATCCTGACCATTCCCTTTTTGTTCCTTCCTGCTTTATCCTCTGGTCCTGTTTTTACTCCTGCTTTGCTCACAGGAGAGCCTCCCCGAGTTCCCCAGAGAGTACCTCTTGAGAGCTCCTGGGTCTCTGCTCTGAAGCTGCGTTCGTAAGTCGGGAGCGGGCAGGCATTGCTTGGCAGGGGGCAATCCTGCTGACATGATCGGTAGAGAATGCACAGCTCCGGGACGATGTACAGCAGCAGGAAAACCCACGCGTTGGTGACCAGGGCGATGCAGATGACGGGGTCGTCCCACTGGGGCTGCCGCTGGAGCTGTGTGTTGCCCCTCATGAGCATGGAGATCCACACCACCCAGATGATGATGGAGACGAGCACCGTGACAAAGATGAACCTGCCGTGCTGCTTCCAGTTCTCACAAGGGCCGCAGAAGGTGGTCTTGGAGACAAAGAACGTGAGGGCCATCAGGAAGAGGACGTAGATCAGGAGGACCACGAAGTCCACGTTGAGCTGATAGGGTGTCATGTGCACAAACATGCCACCCCTGGTCATGATGAGAGTCACGTACTCAATGGCGATGATGGTCTGCAACAGGCTGACCCCAATAGCAATGCACAGAATTGTCGTCCAAGAGAAGGAGACTCGACCCCGGACCAGCTTCACCAGGTTGGAGGCGTGAGCCAAGAGGCACGAGAAGCAGAGAGCAAAGAGGACCCCAAAGAGAAAGTAGCGGATGGGGGCAGTCTGCTGATTGAGCTGGATGATGAAGGCAAAAGCAAGGCCAAAGAGCCCTAGCACACCCAGGAGGAAGAGGAACTGGGTGGGGAGGACATTCCAGTGGGCACAGTCTTGGACCCTTCTCATGAGGAAGAGAAATGCCAGGAGCAGCAGAACTGTGACCACTATGCCAACTGCTGCCAGGGACTCCAGAACGATGCCCCATGCTCCCTCAGTGTCACAGAGGAAGTAATAGTCCCCAGTGGACTCCTTGCAGTCCTCATACATGGTGACTTGTTGGTACCTCACTAGAACAATCTTCTGTTCCCCTGCAAAAAAAACCCAAGATGAAACAAACACGACTTTAACTTCACGCACAAGAACATCTGCTGGGTAGTCCTGGACAGGACACTATAATATCTCTGATTCCCAGATGAAGATGCCTGGACACATTGAATGAAATAGCTCAGAACTATCCACCCCTCAAAACTATCCTAGCTCCGTCCTGCTAGGAAAGGAGAACCATCTTCATTTGAGGCCTCTGGATCATTCATGAATTTCACGTCATAATTTCCACCAAGGCTTTTTGAAGCCTAAGGCAGAATTTTTTTCATAAAGATGGGGTGTGTGACAACATCTGCATGGTTGCTGGACTCCAGTTATAGCAGGCCCCAGAAAAAGGGTTGCCAACATTAATGGACCATTTGATCATTCAAGACATGAGGTGCTGCTCAAAGGAGACAGGCTCTTCCCAGTCATTTTAATGACTGTTCCTTCTTTTAATTCAAGTCAATCCAACACATTATGCTTAAATACCCACTGTTCATTTGTCAAAGAATTTTACAAAGTGGTCTCTGCCCTCAATTAATTTTTTTGGAGAGTGTAGCACCAAACTGTCTTGAGTAGGGTTGTCTAGAAAAAAAATCACACATATTCATTTGGAAACAAGTACCTAGCAGCTGAATACCCCCCAATCCACTCCCCTCTGGCTATTCCCAAGCCAGCTGGCTTGAGTGACCCAGGCCAACAGCTGAGGGCATGGTCCCTTCATTCCCACTTACCTCCTCTGTGTCCACGCTGGAGGCTGAGGCTGTAGTGGCTGCGAGGTTGTAACTGCCAATGAGTAAGAAAGAGACAACCTCAGTGTCTTTAATCTCTCCCCAAATGGGCGGAAGGATGGAGGCACCCACTGGGGTTCCTACAGCGCCTATAAAAAGAACCGGAAGGTCAGAAAGACACACCTATTCAAGTTTCCCAGCAGCCTGTCTACAGAGATTTCTTTGGTGAGAACAACTGTTTCTCATTTTACTGCTAACCAGAGGCACCTTGACCTTAGGGAGGTCCTGAAGGGGGGTGTGGCTTTAGGAAAGACCGCCTCTTCCCCACAGGTGCTGATCTGATGGGGGACTGCAAAAGGCCTTCCCTTGGCCACATGAGGACACGTCATTCTTCTTCTGACCTACTCCCTACAAAGAGCTTCTCAAGTGGCTCGGTGGTAAAGAATCTGCCTGCAATGCAGGAGACTCGGGTTCTATCCCTGGGTCAGGAAGATCCCCTGGAAAAGGAAATGGTAACCCAGAAAAGGAAATGGTAACCCACTCCAGTGTTCTTGCCTGGAAAATTCCATGGAGAGAGGAGACTGGTGGGATACAGTTCATGAGGTTGTAAGAGTTGGACATGACTTAGTGACTAAACCACCACCACCACTCCCTACAAAGCCATCTCCAGAGTCTTTCCCACATCTTGATTTTGATCTTAAGATCCAAAGGAGCATCCTTTCCAAAGGAATCAAAGGTTGGCTGAGCCATAAACGATTAGAAGGATCATGCACATTAAAAGGTCCACTGGTTGCCATCTCTGTGACTTCAGGGAAATTTGACTTTTCTACTCTGCCACTTTCCTCTCCTTTGGAGGTCCTTCCTCAAGCTTTGGCTGCCCATAACGTGGGGGCTCTACCTGGACCAGCTCTTCTGGGATTGCCAAGGCCTTTGGTATAACTTCCCTCTCTCCTTGCTCCCCTCACCCTTATCAGAATGCACTCTTATTGGGTCTCATTCCACTGAGGCTTTCCCAGGGTCCAAGACAGAAGAATGTGCAATTAACAGTTCCAGCTTATGTTGGTATAACATATTCTTTTTCTCTTGTGGTGATGTATAATACAGAACACAGGACAGGATCCAGGCTATCTGACCATAGGCCACCCCTAATCCCCCCTTCAAATTTACTTACTCTTTGGTTCTTTTCCTGGATATTTGCATTTTTAAAAATGTTTGAAGGTTTTAGTCTCATTCTTTAAATTAATTATTTTTAAAATTTTAATTTAATTTGATCAAAAAAGTTTTATTGGGACATAGTTGATTTACAATGTTGGTTTTATGTGTATAGCAAAGTGAATCAATTATCCATACACCTACATCTTCTCTTTCTTTGGATTCTTTTCCTGTATAGGCCATTATAGTGTATTGAGTAGAGTTCCCTGTACTGTACAGTAGGTTCCTACTACTTATCTATAATTAATTTCTAAAAATTGAAAATATAGTTGATTTACAATGTTGTGTTATTTCACATCTGAACCACTTGGCTGTGTGTATATATATTATTTTTCATATTCTTTTCCATTATGGTTTATTATGGGTTATTGAATATATGGATATTTGCTTCTAAAATATTATTTACTTATTTATTTTTTGGCATGTGGTGTCTTAGTTCCTTGGCCAGGAATTCAACCCGCACCCCTGCAGTGGAAGCATCGAGTATTAACTGGTGAACCACCAGGGAAGCTCCAACAGAGGACTTCTAAAGACTCTAATCAGTACTTTTTAGTGTGGTTTCAAGTCTCCCCATGATCCGGCCCCTCCTTCCACCATCCAACCATATTTCTTTCTCCTCTCCAGGCCTTGTTTTTCTTTCAGGTCAGTTTTCTCCCTCCCATCTGCTCACCTTTTCTTAGAGGTTGTCCCTGTCCTGAACTGCCTTTTATTCTGTTCCCATTTATCCTCTGTGCTCGATTCCCATTGATCCTGCTTCTTACCCAAGTCCTTTCTCTGCCTCGATGATCTAGTTCATCTTATCTCCTCTGTGAGTGTTCCTTCCTGCCCTCATCACTCTCGCCTTCACTGATCACTTCCTCAGGGAACTTCACAGTCTGTACTGTCCAAAGTCATGGAAATAATATTTTCTGCCCATTTTATTTGTATTAATCACTTTATGAAAAACTATAAGAAATAAAATGAATTTAAATAATAAATAATAATAAAACAGAAACAGACTCACAGACTTAGTGAAGGAACTTATGGTTACCAGCGGAGAAAGATGAAGGAAAGGATAATCAGGGAGTTTGGGATTGATATGTGCACACTGCTATATTTAAAAAGGATAACCAACAAGGTCCTACTGTATAGTACAGGGAACTCTGCTCAATGCTATATGGTAGCCTGGAATGAAGGGGCATTTGGTGAGAATGGATACATGTATAGTGTGGTTTCAAGTCTCCTGTGATCTGGGCCATGTAGGGCTGGGTCCCTTTGCATTCCACCTGACACTATCACAATATTGTTAATTGGCTATACTCTGATACAAAATAAAAAGTTAAAAAATAATAAATAATAATAAAAACAATTGTCATTGTTGTTGATCAGTTACTAAGTCATGTCTGACTCTGCGATCCCATGGACTGCAGCATGCCAGGCTTCCCTGTTCTTCACCGTCTCCTGGAGTTTGTTCAAACTCATGTCCGTTGAGTCGGTGATGCCATCCAACCATCTCATCCTCTATCGTCCCCTTTTCCGGCCCTCAATCTTTCCCAATGTCAGGGTCTTTTCCAATAAAAATAATTTATTAATTTCTTTTATTTGTAATTCATCCCTTTGGTTAGATTTATAGCTGCTTGGGGGTTAGGCTCCATATTTTATGTCCTCATAGCACCTGGCCCTGCAGGAAGCACCTCCTAGGTGATGGATGAACTGATTAATGGAATGTATCTAAGGATAGAATTTCAGGCTGCATGAAGTTACTTTTTAGCAATGTGCTTTTCCAACCCATGCTTTTAAATGGAAGCCACCTGAGATAAGAATCTTAACAAACTCTGGACAAATTCATTCTGAAGTGGTATTCTATCATCTAGAATCTCCTTAACTTTAAAAAGCCGTGGGTTTTTTTTTTTTTTTCCTTTGAGAGAAGACTATTTTAGAGAGAAGCGTCCTCACCTTTACTGGCTTTGGGCACAATCACGGTCTGTCTGAAGCTGTAAAAGCTTATCTATAAAGTTTACATTAAGGGTAAAGGGATTTTTCCAGATGCTGAAATACGACATCTGGGAGGATTCACCCAAAGACATCTGTGAATGGTGAAGTTGCTGTTAGGCCAGCAGGTGAGGATTTCCCATTGAATTCTTCCAAGATGACCATTTTGGTGACCTTTGGAGGAGAGACAGAGAAGGTCAACCCCTCTGGCTTTAGTCATGGGCATTCCTCACTGTTGTGAGGTTAGAGTTCCTGGCATACTTGTCTTCTAAGGAGATTCCTCCTGACCCCCTGATGGCTTGAGGCAGGTGAATTAATGGGTTAAAGACCACAAAGCCCTTTGAGCACCTTAGATAAAAGAACTGTCTCAGGTACTAATTATTGTTATTTTAAAATCTAGGGTAATAGAGTTAGCCCATCTTCTCCAGGCCCTAAGGAAAGAGGGCTCCCTTTGCCTACACACATTCAAATTACTCACATCTCTTTCCTTTTGTCTTTTATGCTGTGACAACATCACACCAAACAGCTCAGGCTTTGATGAATCAAAGCATATTGATTACAACAAGTCCATTAAAAATGGAGATAAAACTGTCAAGAGGCCAAACGCCTTTTCCAAACATCTTTCTGTGTTGTTTCCTTCTCCTAGAAACAGAGCTTGAGGGGAATGTTAGAGGTGACCTAATCTAACCCTTTCATTAATAATAATAAGGAAGCTGCCATGATAATAGGAGGAATTTAACAACAGGGAGGTGGAGGCCCAGAGAGATGAAGGGAGGTACCCAAGAGTCAGGATGTTAGGGGAGATAGCCAGCATTGTCTGACTCCTTGTCCCATTCTTGCTGCCGCACCAGGTTACTTTCCTGATATGTTTCATGTTGTGAGGACCAGCCTTAAGAGGAATAAGCCCTTAGATGTGGCAAATGGGTCAGGATCAGAAAGAAAGAAAAATGTTCATTAGGAGAGTGCATTATATACCCTTTATCCCAAAACAGCTGTCATTGTTGTTCAATTGCTCACTCGTGTCCAACTCTTTGCGACCCTATGAAC